GGCCGCTACCTAAACACAGGACAATACAAACATAGGGTAAACGCATAGACACACCAAACATCCATGTCTTGAATGGGATTCGAACCAGAATTCCCAGCGTCCGAGTGAGGGAAAACAGTTCATGCGTTAGACGGCGCGGCTACTGTGACCTACAATACCTTAGGTAAAAGGTAAGGTAAAACTAACCCTGTAACCGGCCGTGAAGATCCATAAGGTTGTGAGACGTTGAGGGTCTAGCCAATTGGGTCACAGATGGTGGTAAGTTTGTCAGCCTTTTGCGCCGCTCGCCTTTTATCCACCAGGAAGATTTATGGTACTCATTTCTGTTTGAGGCTGAATCGATACAAGGGCCATAGTGAGGCTGGAAGGATTAGGTAAATTGAAAAAAAAAATCCACCTCATCGGGACCCGAACCCGCGTCCTTCTGGCTTGTAGCATAGTGCCTCAACCAACTACGCTACAGGTATGGTAGAGCAGTAAAATCTGTGAATATGGTAATGGGTTTTCGGCCTCTCTTTTGATCGAGTTAGCAACTATCAACTTTTGAAGGCAGCTCCAGTATCATAAATTAAGTTAAACCATTTTTATCGTCATCTCTATATCTGTATTACTCGTGGAGCCACTAATTCCTAAACCTTGATCTAACGTGCATGAAGGATATTTGATACTTTTTACGTTACTTAGTTTGAATAATGCCTAGCTCTTTTCTGATCTGACAGGTTTCAGAACCTGTCAATACCTTTGGGCTATAAGTTACCTATGTGAAGCCTGACACATATGCTGCTGCTAGTTTATTGCTTACAAGTATAGTAAAGAAATGGAGTTAGTCTGCGCCTTCAACAGGTGTGACTTTCAGGTTAAATAATGTAACAGAGCGAAAACAAATGATGAATTGTGCGCGAGTTCTTCCTGCGAGGCAGCCTTGTTACGTATCTCAGTCTGAAGAAGACTGATAACGGTGCTTGTCTGAATGTAAGCTTTGATGTGATTAGTTTTCATATTCATGATTTTTAAGCATCTCTCTTTTAGAGCTCATAAAGCTTCAGCTTGTAAGCTGGAAATGTTACCTTTAAGAGCCAGTAGCGTGAGTCTACGTTAACTGTTCAATAGCTTACTTTGCTTGAATTAGGTATACTTTGGAGGAAGTCGAGACTAATTAAAATTTTATGTAATAGAAACGCCTTTTAGAAACTTTTAATTGGACGCATTTTGAATTTAACATAATTAAAACTGCGTAGAAGTGTAGGCGGTAATTAGTCAGGTCTTGTATGGCTGTACGTACGTATTTTCGAGTAGGATTCCTCAGAAGAAAATACATCCCAGAATCCCCTCTTAGGCGATACACATTACGTAACTGATATGCCGTGTTCCCGAAGAAGGAGAGGCGTCATTCTCCTGAAATTTATCGATCCCTATGAACTAGTTATGAAGTTCCTTATATTCGTAATAGAAGACAGTGATTTATTGAAACTGCTTCTGCGGAAATCTACCATATATCATGCTTATTTTCCAAGTGTCTTATCTGCATAAGCAAACATCGAAGAGAGAATCTCATAGAGATTTTACTATTAACTTATATCTTTAACGAAAAATCCTATAGAGGGTTGAATTTAACAAGAATATTTTCGAGTAGCTAATAAGAACAATGCACAATTAGTCTCACTTTTTACTAGAGTGTTACTTGTGTTACCGAGCAATGATAATTACTGTTTTAAAGACGAAAACATCGTATGATTTTTTTCAGGAATATTGGCTTCATTTTTTTAAATGTATAAAAACTGTTAACCTGTCGGTTTTGCTCAGCTGTTCTGTTTTCTTGTTAGTTTGTAGTGGGTCTATAAGTTACGTGTGTTAAGCGCCCTTTTGTTCATGGAATCCTACTATTGCTTTCTTAACTCTCTGAAACACAAATTCTGTATAATGAATATTTCAGAATTAAGTTCCCATTTTATACAAAACACACTAATTCTCCGTACATACACAAATTGGTTAATATACATTACGAAGATAATCGTCCTGTCTGCTGAGCTTCATATGGACCACCGAAATGGGACTCCGTGGCAAAATAAAGTATTTTATGGGCGAAATGCAGAATCATTTAATGTTGAAGCACGAAGCAGCAATTGTGTACCACAGGGCCTCCGAATCATTTACAATTTTTAAAAACATTCGATTTTTTGTTTATTTGTTTTACTCCCTCATGTCGGTCTTGCCTTGGTGTGGATAATATGTTCGATTTATAAATCACTTTAAATGAACATAATTATCATTCCCAAAAATATGCTTCAAACAACTAGAGTGCTTTATAGCGATCACAGTGGTCGAGCATTCTAAGGCATGAACTTTCTCCACTCGCTCCGTCGCTGGGATCGTGAGTTCGAATTCTACTTTAAGCATGGATGTCCGTTTAAGTTTGTTAGTTCTTTGTGTTGTTCTGTGTGTAGGTAGAGCCCTTCCGAAGTGCTGATCCCTAGTCCAAGGAGTCCTACCGACTATGTATAGGATTAAGAAACTGAAACAGCGGCCAAGGTCCAAAGGGATGGAGCGAGAGAGAGAGAGACTTTGATGAATTATGTCCTCTGAAAATTTGCAATTTGACAGAATGTTCCCATTTTTAACTGTATTGATAAAAGTCTCAAAATTGTCACTCGCTCACTCATTCATTCATTGTGCTGAACCCTTCTTGAGAAGCCGTCAGTTGTGCAGCAACTCAAGAATTTCCCAGCATTTAGTGGAACCCGAAGGTTCATTACCATATTCACAAGAGCTCTCCAATTGTCTCTATTCTGAGCTGGGTGGGTTAGGTGAGTCTCTTGTTCCCACGGCAGGGCGCGTCCTCAGGTTGTGGATGGAGGAGGGGGCCTCCAAATATGAAGGGTAGCTGTGAATATATTGAATAAGCAGAAGCGGACAGCCGACAATGAGTGGTCCTCCAGCTTGGGGGTTGGCCGTGGGTCTACACAACACCTCACCGTAAAAAATAAGTTTGTTACGAAAGCTCACAAGAGACCTAGGAAATTCTCAAAATTATGTTTTTGAAAAATGGTATTTAATTTGTAATTCAGCCTCAAATATTCACGAACTCAACTGGTGTTAAAATGTAATATTTTAATAAGTATATTATATCCTATGTAAACTTCTAATCGACTTTAGTCATCACGTTAGTAAATGTAACTTATCGGAAATTTCACTTTCATACATTATTCCATTTAAATATACGAACCAGTTACAAATTGCATGTATGAGGACGTACACAACTCGGTATAACTAACAAAAACAAACTCCGTGGTTTTATTCCCCAAGCGAACTATACCGACAGGGCGACCGCCGCTTGCCGGCGAAGTTAGTGCCAAAGTTTTGCGGATGGAGGGTGCCGTGTGGTCAGGGTAACGAATCCTCACGGCAATTAATTTTTTTTCTAGACCGGACCCGATATTTCCTTTTAATAGTTCAATTATCATCACGAGGCTGAGTGGACCCCGTTCCAGACCCATTACTTCTCAGAAAACCTGATAGCGCCGGGAATCGAACATCTGGATCTGTAGCCAGGAATTCTGAGCGCTAGTCCACAGAGGCGGTCTACTGTCTCTGTCAAAACCTTTAGGTAATATAAAATTTCCGTACCTTACAGTTGTCAAAGCTTGGTCCATATTGTAAGCATTTATATGTATAATAACATATACCCACAATATATGTGTATCAATCGTTAATTTATTGATTAATTAAATTTGTATATTGCAATAACAGTTTATTAAGCTATATACTATATATACTACATATTAAAAATTCCTATAGCCCGCTCGACCAAAATTTGGAACTGATCTATTTGATCACACGAGTTGAGAACTGGTGGACACTGTAATGACCCTTCGGATTCCGTAAAATGTCGGAAATTCTTTATAATCAGGGTTACTTCCATAGTATGAGCCTATTAGTTTTAAACCGCTTCATTTTATTATAATATTTCCAGGTAGTACACATGCGACTCCGCCATTTTATAAATCTGATTTGATGGTCGGAAATGGTTGAACAGCATCCAGTTGGAGCTGGGGCCTTGCTGCATTGATCAGTCTGTTATCTCTGCTTGTTTGCTAATTAAGGCCTGTGCAGTTGTGTAGGTCAGTCATTTCTTCAGTGCTTATAACGATAGTAATTGATCGCATCTCGATTCTCTTATGATAGAAAGCAATTAAATTCCTCAATAGCTCAGGAGTCGGTATAGCGACTGGCTATGGGCAGGACGACCGAGGGATCAGGGTTCGAGTCCCGGTAGTGCTTTATAACCATATAAAACTACAGAAACTTGTTTGTTTTCTATGTCTCAACCTTTGCTGTTTTGATAGAACGCTAAGGGGTAATTTCTCCTTAAGCTAAATTCGGGACCACGCTAGAAAATTAATGGAGGGAAAGAAAGTACAGCTCCACGCATTTACTTCCGCAGTAGATGTTGGTGAATTATCAGCTTCAAGACCCAGTCGCTTTTTTCGGGCAAAAGAACCCTCCATAACCACTGGACTGGAGGCTGGCTGAGTCCAGAGAGATCTTATATGCTGTGAAGAACATGCAATTACCTGTCCTACCAGGAAATGAAACCCGGTTTCCTTGCCGGCAATACTGTAGCCTAGTAACTATACTACATAATTCTTGGGGTGGCGTTACACTGAGTTCACTTGGCCCGTCGGCCACTATTTGGCCTACTGTATCAGCCCCGGATGAGAGATGATGATGATTGTGGAGTAGTCGGTTGAATGAGAATTGGCAAGGGGAAACAGGAGTACTCGGAGAAAGCCTACTTGAGTCCACCACAAATTCCCACATGACCTGAGCTGGGATCGAGGCGGGAAACCGGTGACTAACCCCCTGAGCTATGGCATGGTTCTATACTATACATCAGCTCTTGAACAGAATATATTTCTTATGTGTTCTCCTAATTTAATAGCGAACAAATTCTTTGTCTGACAGCTGACAACGCATGCTCATTCTCGTCTGTTCGGTTTCAGCTCGTAGCCATTCAAGGCTTTTGCTCGGCCACGAGGGAATACTGCCCCCCTGGTCCTCAAGGAGCACCAGGACCACCAGGTGCTCCTGGTATGCGGGGTAGCGAAGGACTCAAAGGAGATCGCGGTGACAGAGGATTTCCCGGTGAACCAGGATTACGCGGTCCTCCAGGAATGCACGGAGCACCAGGGCCTAAAGGAGATAAAGGTTAGTAAGAAAAGTAATGGAATCGACCGTAACAAATTGACAAATAATTGTATTGTGCGGCAAATGATTGAGTTCGATTTGCAGTGTCTTAAATTGTCAAGTAAACGCCATATTTTGATCAGAGTACATGAGCACAATCTGTGCCTCAAGTTGTGGACACATACCGAGGCTTTCGATTTTTGTACGTTAAGGAATGAGGACTTCACAAATCGTTTGATGCATAAGTAAGTTACTGTAATTCGAAAGAATAGGTTTAATGATATATATTTTTAACAAGGGATAAAATACGGGATGTTTCTGAAATATGTGGAATCTAGTCGGCTAAGCAACTAGCCTATTGACGAAATCTAGCCGAGACTTTCCATGGATATCGAAACTAGTGGTCAGGTCTCACACAGTACCCGAATATAAACACGGATATCGAAAATAGCAAGGTAGAAACAAAGGAATGGGAACAGACGGTCGAGCCTCAAATAGTAGCCAGATATTAGCAGCCAGAAAATAAATTGAAATGACATTCATGTCTCTATCTAATAGCCAGCTACTAGCAAATAAATTGAAATGAGACATCATGTCTCTAGCAGCAGCCAGCTACTAACAAATAAATTTAAATGAGATATCATGTCTCTAGTAGTAGCTAACCACAAACAAACAAATTGAAATGAAACATCATGGCTCTAGCAGTAGCCAGCTATTAACAAATAAATTGAAGTGAGACATCATGTGTGTAAGTAGTAGCCCTCTGCTAACATATAAATTTAAATTAGATATCATGTCTCTAGTAGTTGTAAGCTATTGGCATATAACTCGAAATGAGAGGTGATATCTGTAAGTAGTAGCTAATTATTGGCAAATAACTAGAAATGAGACGTGATGTCTATAAGTAGTAGTTAGCTATTGACAAATGACTTGAAATGAGACGTGATGTCCATAAGTAGTAGCCAACTATTGGCAAAGAAATTGAAATGAGAAGTGATGTCTGTAAGTAGTAGTTAGCTATTGACAAAGGAATTGAAATGAGAAGTGATGTCTGTAAGTAGTAGTTAGCTATTGACAAATGACTTGAAATGAGACGTGATGTCCATAAGTAGTAGCCAACTATTGGCAAAGAAATTGAAATGAGAAGTGATGTCTCTAAGTAGTAGCCAGCTATTGGCAAAGAAATTGAAATGAGACGTGATGTATCAAAGAGCAGCAAGGCACTGGCACAGAACACTAAATGAGAGGGCAGGTCTCAAACAGTGGCCAGCGGAAAGATCGGTTGTTATCAAATAGTAGCTGAGTCGAAGCACGGATATCGTTGACAGCAGTTTGGGTTTGTTATAGTACGACACAGAAATCGAGAAGTCTGCTTACATCTCGAACATAAGAGCTGAATCACAAACATTTAAAGCAGTAGTTGAGTATTACCGAGGAGCCGGGTAAATTAGCGATCAGACCGAAACCTTAACAAATTTTTCTTTGATCCTGCCGTATGTTCCGTAAAATGTTTATGCAAAAATATTCCAGGAGAAAGCAAATCCATCGTCTCTGCACAATGCTCATCCCGTTTCTCGGTGATAATACCGTCATATCATACAATACAAGTATATTGCTGATAGTCCGGGGATTTCTGCTCTTTCCGCATTCAGATCGAAACGTACATAATACAGCCTGCATCTGCATTGTTCCACTGCTCAACTCAGTGAACTACACTGCCGCTGAACCACCTGGAAAATGTTTTACACTCCCACAAGTTGAACTCGTATTCAGTGCTTTACCAGACAGGTGCTTTTCGAACACAGCCCACATAAAGCACGAAACACCAGACTTTTCTTATTTTGCCTTATGTTTCTTGCAGTATTTTGCAAAATGATGCTTTTCACTTCATGTAATATATATATTTAAATTGCCGTATCTGAATATAGGTTTATTTTATTCAAATTTTTCAATATTAAATAGATTTATATACTCATACTAGTTATTATATTAGTATATCTGGATAATTAATAATCAAATCGGGGCTTGAACAGAACCACATTCCTGACAAACTCAAAATGAATCAAATACGTGTAATTATAGCGAGCCTAGTTAACGGAACCGACAGGCGGAAAATTGAATTCGCTGAAATGAGAATTCGAAGCCAGCAACCTGTCAGTCGCGCAGGGGCGAGGTGATAAATGAAGATAAACGTAAGGAACTTAGCGGGTTTTTAATGTGATTCAGAGAATAGGAGATCGCAAAAAAATAAGTATTCAATTGCTACAATCGCCATCTTCCTTCAATAAATATGATCTGTTAAAATGAACTATAAATTTATACTCGTAGTCTAGAGGCCACAAGTTGTAACAGAATATACTGCTGCATTACGACTACATTGGAAAATAATAACCACAGAACTTTGCGACTTCTCAGTGTTTACCGTTGTTAACACGAGTTTGTTAAAACTTGCAATGGTTGAATAGTTACAGATACGGGTCCATGATCTGAAATATATATATACCTGTTCGCCAGTTTCTTTCATATTACACATGCAATAGTATGAAAGGGTAAAATGTATAGTTGTCCCTGACGGTCACGGTAGCTGAGCGGAAGGTGTGTGTACTCTCTGCGCTCGCTCGGAAGCCGGGATCGTGTGTTCGAATCCCACACAAAGCATGGATGTTTGCTATGTGTATGCGTATATTCTGAGTTTATGTTGCCCTGTGATTAGGTACAGGCCTCGCGACGAGCTGATCACTCGTCCAAGCAGTTCTACCTCCTGTGGAAATGATCATGACACTGAAAAATCAGAGGCCATGGCCCAAGGGTGCTGTAGAGCCAGTGAAAATAATTGTTGCTGCGCTTCATTAGTTAAGCACCACGCCATGAAGACTTGTGGGAGTAGAGACACAGCTACATACTCTTTAAACTGGGCACTAGACGGAGACGAGTGGTCGGATTTACGCTTCTAAAGTGTTCTTTTAATTCCCTTAGTGGGGGGTGGAGTCCAACTGGGTCCACTCGGCACGGCGGCCACTGATTGGCCTACTGTACCTGCCCCGGGTGATTATGACGATGGAGAATTTGGTGGAATGAAGATTGGCAGGGGAAACCGAAGTAGTCGGAGAAAACCCGCCCAAGCGCCACTTTGTCCACCATAAATAATAACAGGGTTAATAACAGGGTTGGCATAAAACTGTGTTGGCATCTGAAATATTAACGTTAAAATAGGAAAGTTAATATATTCCATTTAAAATATTCACGTTATGGAATAGAGACATTTTAGACGAAGTAAGACCTATTAGTGTAAGTCTTAAAATTACCGGTCTCAAAAGCTTATACTAAAAATCTTTTGTTATCTATTTACTACTGTAAACTACATGTCTGAACCATACACTTTCGCCATTAGATGATATACACAGCTAAGTCATATATATCTAGACTGCAAGCACAAGTTTCTTAAAATGTAATGTACAGAATTACGGTTACAATAATAATGAATCCTATGGGATCCATCGTAATTACACACACACACATATATATATATAATGGCAATACTTTTCCAGATATAAGTATCCTCCAACGTATGGAGTACATTTTTACTATTTAATTAGAATTTCCTACACAACATGGCAATTCGCTCTTATATTTTCCTTGAATATATATAATATTTTTGGCAATCCATGTTAAATTAAAACCCTTAGCTGTATGTTAACTTACAATAGCGTTAATAGGGCCGTCTACCCACAAACAAAAACAACACAAAAATAACGTATCAACATATGTTTATTAGGGAAAGGTATTTTGCTATATGTTTCGACCTTCATGAAGTCATCATATTATTTTGTTGTTCACGTTGCAGCTCTATCTAGAGTTTACGCAAGAGCTACAACAGCAAAAACACAAAAAATGGGAATCCCTTCGTATACAACATAACATATAAACATTACAAACTCTCCACGTATGCAAAACAAAACTAACTGCGAATGACACAAAGAAAAACACTTAGGAGGCTACTACACGACGATTCGAAGTAAACCAACGCGACAGATATATCCAGGAGGGCCCCCTTACGTTGCGTCGATCAAGGCCCAAACACATAATAACTACGACCATACAAAAAAAACCCGACGAACAAAAGAAAAATCTAGTTTTAAGCTTAATTAAAATTCGTTCTTAAAAATCAAAGCATAATTCGAGTAGTTAATTCTTATCTTTAAAATTTTAAAATTAAAAATTAAAATTTCATATTTAAGGGCAAAACTACGTTATTAACTATATCAATATTAAATCCAAGCTATATATATAATACTAGTTTTAATGCTGAAATTTTATTCACTGTTATAGTACATTGTGCATTTATGAAGGAAAGGATCGAAGTGTAGATAAAGTATATTGTGGGCTGTTGACGACTAACCTAGAACTTATACTGATCACGATGTTTTAAAGTTTTACGAATTATACAGTTTATTGGCCACTCGAGTAAAGAGTCGAATTTTACTTACAGAAGTGACTAAATATGTCTCTTTGGATGCAAGGAATGGAAATGATGACGTAGCGCTGAGTGTCCTTGGAAGTAACGTTTCATCCAGCTGGAGTTCAACTAATAGATACAAACGAACTGCAGAGAACGGTTTGCCTAGATGGCGCTGTTGAAGTCTAACAAGATAATGACGACACCGAATATCGGGTTTTTTGTTATCGTAAATTTTTGAAGTCAAATGATCGCCTCGTTGACAAAATTACATGTATGTTATCATTATAAATTAATCTTTATTTGACGAATTATTTAAAAATGAACAATTATTCTTCTAATTTCACGATTTAAATTCGGTTGTGGTGTTACCGTTTTGATTCCAATTCTGGGCTGCTTTTATTACATCCACACTTCGGTCCTAGCCTTCAAAGACGCATGTTTCAACACCACTAAGCAAAATTCTGTCCTTAAACCTTAAAATTAATCTAACTAATCTAACTGGATTGGTTACGGGCTGGACGACGGAGGGGTCGTATTTCGAATCCCGGTAGAGTCAAGAACTTTCTCATCTCCAAGTTATCCACGCCGGAGCCGGGACCCACCCAGCCTCCTTCCCAATGGGTATCGGGGGCTCTTTCCCCGGGCGTAAAGCGTGAAGCTCACCATTCATTTCTAACTAATGTCGAGCTCAAGGAAACGTGGATCTATACAGCCACTCTCCCATACGCCTTCATGGCGTAAGTGCTTTAATTAGTTAAGTAGAGGGACAACTTCGCCTTCTTTTATTAATCTAACTGTAGGAATTGCTAAAACTTGGCGCAATTAACATTATTTTTATTTCTCAGATCATGATATCTATGGCATTAATGTTTTCGTCCAATGAATTGTCAATAGCACATACCTCCTGGTGATCGTGGTTCTAGTGGTGTGCCCCATACGATTTTAATTCCTCCTGGTTTTGTTGGACCGTTCTAATGGCATATTCTGAAACAAAGTTGAAAAGCGACAGCGATAAAGCATCTCCTTTTTTGAACCATTCTGAATATGAAAAGCATCAGAAGAGTAACTGTAAGGACTTTACAGACACACGCATTTATACACATATTTGTGTTAAGCCAGTACAAGTAGTTTAATCGGGAATTCGAATGTTGTATAGTCGCAAGAAACCAGCTTTAAGCCCTGAAGCCTTGGTTTATACATTCATTGCGAAATGTTTCGCATCTCTGACCCCTGTGACTAAACCATGATTCACATCCTTCGTTAAGCTGTTAATTCTACTCCACAGAAGAGTATACCGTCTCCATTATCAACCTATCTGGGGCAAAATGGAAATTCCTGCCAGCGAGTAAATCCACCCAAAGTCCGGATAGGCTCCTTCGCCCTAATCACGTGGGCAGAAGCCAGCATGACATTCCAATTCACCGTTCATCCAGTTACTGGAAGTATACGCAAGACATGTATTTTATATATATATAAACCATAATTTAACCTGGACTCCCATTACTACGCGACGGCTCGATAAACAAGTTCCCGCGAACACAAATTCTAGGTAAACAACGCGTTGTTGGGCAACGCGTACAAAAATACGCTAAATAATTAGGGGTGTTTTCTCTGTGGCCCGTGCGGAGTCTATATAACGACAGCCTGTAGCTAGGAATAGATCAGAGCTGAGTTGAGAGAATTGGACCAGAGTTCAGTTGTGGGTAGGAGATAGCCACAGGAAGCTCATATTTGAAGAAGAATTAGAAGTCGATCTGTGAAGAATTAACGCGCGAACTGAGGATTTTATGTGTGCTGTAATACAGTTGTATTGGGAGTGTGTGACTGAGATTGTTATTGTTCCTGTGTAAAATCCGTTGCGAGGAAACGGTTAGGGAAAACTTTGCAGAGGTTAGATATTTTACCTAGCAACGACTATTGTAAGCAGATATAGAAGACTTTATTTATGTGTTATAATTAGAGAAATCTTTGAAGTTGTATAATTAATTGTAGTTAGGACTATTGAATATCCAATAAATCGATTAACCAATCCAAGCCCCGTCTTTAGTCACTCGTATATGTGATAACTGATGTCAGAATTGGTCAGATTAATGGAAGTATTGAGCGGCTGTGAAGAGAAGACATTATGTATATTATTTGGAGTGTGTAACTCAGTGAAAACATTTTCAAGGCTTAGCCATGTTGAGATCTGTTACCTAGCAACGACTAGTTTAAGCAGATATAGAATAACTTATTTATGTGTTAAAGCTACCGTAATCTTGAGAGTGTAAGAACTAATTGAAGTTACGACTTGGAATATCCAATAATTCGATTCACCAATCCAATCCCCGTGTCTATAAGCACGTCTATACCTGATATTTTTGCAACATTTGACGTGTTTTGGAACAGTTAATGTTTGATTGACAGTATTCACTATAAGATCTTGATATCGATTTGTACAGTCCACCATTATTTCAATGCACGGCACTACAATATCTTGTTCTTACACTCTGCAATTCAACCACTGAACTAACCCATCGTCTCTCCATCCTGACTGTATCACATCTGATTCTTTATACATGGCCGCTGTACGCCTCTTCTAGGTTTACAATCAGACTCTTCTGTTGAAATTCGCAACCACTGTTTCACGGGCTAGAACTTCGAGACCGTTTAACTCATACCGCCAGCAAGAGATTATCTGCTTTTCTGGAAGGAACAAGAGCAGGAAAGGAGGACGGAGAAGGCCGAAGTTTGGAGAGACAGAACCTCGTGCCAGCGAAGCCAATCCGCCCTCCTTTCCGCTCCTCGTTCCATCAGGCGACTTTATTATTAGGATGACCACGTAAAGAGCAGTGGGTTGGGTTGGAATATGAGGCACCTGAAGTAGGAAAAATTGGCAATGTACATAAAATTTTAATTCGGAAGACATGAAAGGAGAAAACCCCTAGGTGACATAGTCATAGATGCGACCATGTTGTTAATATTGATCCTCAAATCTAAAGTTTCAAGATGCACACTGGGCTCAACTCGCTCAGTGTATGACGATGATCATTATACGAGGTGATATCGGAAATTTCCTGGACTGTTATGGTTGTAACTGCTTCGATGAAAGAAAATGAGAGGGGAGGCCAAGGTCACGCCCTTCCGAAAGCCTTTGTATCAGTCTGCCACGTGACACCGCGCTGTGAACATACATTGTTTTTACAGGAGTGCTTTTTCGCCTTCGTGTTTCGTTTTGTCTGCGATGGATGGCAAAATCGAGCAACGGGTCTACATCAAGTTTTCCGTGAAGCTCGCTAAATCCGCTACCAAAACCCTTGAAATGCTTCGTGAGGCTTTTGGAGAACATTCTTTAAACCAGACAGTGGCTTCTGAATGGCATTCACGTTTCAAGGCCGGTTGAGTGTCAGTTGAAGATGAAGAATGTTCGGGACGACTAAGCACCAGCAAAACGACAGAAAACGTCGAAGAAATCGAAAACTCATCCATAGGGACAGTCGGCGAACAATCCATGAACTCGCAGACACCGCTGGGATAAGTTATTGTTGTGCCAGGAGACCTTAACAGAAAATGTGAGCATGCTCCGCGTTGCTTCTTCATCAAGACAAAGCGCACGCCCACACGTCTCTGAAAACCACAGAGTTTGTGACCAACAGCAACATGATTGTTGTTTCCCATCCTCTCTACTCCTCGGATTTGACCCCCTGTGATTTCGCTTTGTTTCCCAAACTGAAAATTAAACTGAAGAGACGAAGTTTTGAAACAGTGTCTGACATCCAAAGGGAATCACAAGCGGCACTAGACCTGCCACGGTGCGTGGAAAAAACGAATGGATCGCTGTGTACGTTCCCAGGGAGACTGTTTTGAAGGAGAGGCAGCCAAAATTGAGTAAGTTAAGCCAGCATTTCTTTTTTGACCTAGTCCGGGAACTTTCCGATACACTTCATATGTCAAGAGGTGGGCTTTTGTGAATTCGAAAAATTGTACACTTGCATTGCGCTGCACGCGGTAGCGTAGTTGGTTGAGGCACTATACTATAAGCCAGAAGGTGGTGGGTTCGATTTCTGATGAACCTACTAGATTTTTAAATTTACCTAATCCTTCCAGCCGCACTATGGCCCTGGGGTCGACTCAGCCTCTAACAGAAATGAGTACCAGGAATCTTCCTGAGGGTAAAGGGCGGCGGGTGCGTAAGTCTGACAACCTTACCCCCATCTGTGAGCTGATTGTCTAGAAGACGTGGGAGTCTCAACCTCTCACAGACCTATGGGCCTTTACGGCGTTTTACAGGAATAGCTTCAATTTTTAACATTTACATTGCACAAACAGCGGGAAATTTATGTGATGCCTTAAGGTACGATTCGCAAGAAGCGATTCAGCCGCACGATTCAAGCCGCAGCGGTTGTAGGATTGCACCATTCCTTAAGACGCGGCTGTAATCGGGTAGATTTGGTGCGATTGGTGTCATTACTTTCCGACAGTGAGAAGGAAACGCGTGGATAAAAGCGGTGTTATTCGTCTATTGATGCTCGAAGATGAGGAAGACATGAAATTTTACATCCTGATATTGAACGAGAATGGTGGAAATACGAGTAGATCTGTGCGTGACCTGTTCAAAACAAGAGCGGAGTAGGGATTAAATACCATCCTAATTAATAGGCACCTAATTAACGATGAATGTGCCACTAATTCAATAAAAACATTGTCTTCTGTGCTTGAAAATGCCATTGTTGTATCTTCTCGAAGAGATGCGATCCATGCTACTGTGCGGTTATACTGGTCTTGTAGGCAGTCGACCAGTGCCTCACGTCCAGAGACGCTGCGGCTGAATAATTTCCTACTGCGCATGTGCAGACCGCCGCATCGCCCAGTCGCAAGAGACGGTTCTTGGGAATCGTACCTTTATGGCAAGGGACTCTGCTCTGATCTATGGAGTACCTTTCATTCTACAAAGCATGGTTAAAAAACTAAGAGGTAAAAATAAAACTGTCAGTAATTCTCACTGTTGCAGCACCACCTGGACTTGACGGTCGGGACGGCGTTCCTGGTGAACCTGGACTGGATGGGATCCCCGGAAGGAACGGGTTAGACGGTATGCCCGGACTGAACGGGTACGATGGTATGCCAGGACTTCCTGGTATAAATGGAACTAATGGTAAGTTGAATTCATCCTGAATTTTAATAATTCATTTAAATACTCGTAGAGGATTTTCCCCGCTCTTCCATAAATTTCGGGACGCGTTTATGGTGTTCTACGGACCAAATCATATAAATAAAATTATATAAATTTATATATTACAACAAATTATATAACAAAATAACTATTTAACAACAAGATGACAACAACGAAGATGTCTCCTACAAACGAAATTCCTGGCGTTCAGAATCGTTCCTCGTTTGGGATTTCTTAGATTGGCCAAATTGAAAGGAAAGTCCTGAATGTTGCCGAATTACTTCGGGATCTATGGCGAATGACGGCAATGAAGGCTACATATAGGGAATGATCAGAAGGAGCCATATCTTCTATGAGTCGCTTGATCTCCACGTTTGTAGGTGATATAGAAGCTTCTAGTTAGAGACACGTACAATTAGCTCTTTATTAGGTACCGTGATATCGTACAAAGTTTTTTGATATGTGTCCTCCGCAGTAAATGTAAGGTATGATGGGAAAATATGAGGAACGGGAAATATGTTAATAAACATTAGATATGAATATTTTCTTTCCTCATAGGAAAAGACCAGTTTTCACGCCGGTAGCCAAATTTACAACAATCAAGCAAAAGATCAATTTATTTTAAACTTAGACATTTCTAGCAATAGAATTAAATGAGCTTCATTAAGCTAAACAGGAGACTAGAATTTTCAGACTTTCCTCTCATGTTTACCTGAAAGTAACTACAAAACATGTTTTTCCCCCATACGTATCTGAGTGCACGGAGATGGAAGTGACCGTTGAACCGTGTTCTCAGTCAGTGCTTGGGGCTTCAGCGTTTTTGGCTTCCACGTAATAATCCCACAAATATCCACCAACCTAGATTATTTTTCCTCCTAAACTCTAATTTCTGTTAAACAACATTTAAAAATTGAGTTCCTACCTCATAGGAAACATGATGTGTCTTCATTATGAAGAAAAGTTTGTTAATGCAGTTCAGGAGAACAGTGGCTGTTTCTTCTTAGAATCATATGAAATGTACCGGTTCGCTTACGTGGGAGGAGAAGAATATCTTACAAGCTTCAGTACAGTTGTTTATTTAAGTCTGAGAGTTCTTTAATATGTATATAAGACAAGTAGTACATACAGCAACCAATGTTTTAAAAGGCTCCGAGAAGGGTCATCCACAGCTGAGATGAAACCATTCCAAGCTGATTTAAATCTGGCAGGTGATTCTCTGGGCTAAATGCTGGAACCCATGTTAATCTCTATTTGCACGGATTGATATCAGGAAACTTAATTCTCAGATCTGGTGCCTATTAAGTCTGTTCCTGTATTTTGCTTTTTTTTCTGCATAATTCGAGAATCATAAGTATCTTCTGGCGAAGATTATCAGCAGACTAATTGCATGTCTCCATAAAGTTGTTTTCTGTGAGAAAATGTATAATTCAATTTATTAATTTCTTCCTTTGGAAGTGGCATTCCTAATCTAAAGAAATTTCAAAGCCAAAATAATTTTAAGCGAGTTCGTAATAAAAATAGTATTCATATTATCATCTTATATTTTAAAGTACCTTCCTTGCGGGATCCGTATTTCAATTTCACGGAAGACCTCAGTCCCGCGGGACACAATTTGACAAAACACTGGTCTGGACCTTTACCATTATACCACCCCACTAGCTCATATGAACGTAGAGTGCTTTTAACATGAGGCTATACATATTTTATCTAAAATAGCCTAATTTATTTTTCATGAAGCTTCTATTCCTGGGGGACAAGACATGACGCAGTAGACTTCCCACTCTCAGAAGTAAATCTCTGGGTTTATTGCTCTGACATCGCTTCTGCCTTGTCGTTCAATTATTCATCTTATTAACCGGGGTATCAAACTACGGAAACTGCGGCACCTGGATCAGGGGTGACTATGCAGTGTCCTGGCATGGGCACAGCCTCAGGTCGAAGTCTCGGTGGTGGCAATGGTGGCTCCGCAGGTTATCCAGTGACTATATTTTAAGTGAAGGATTTTATGCAACTAAATGGCATGGGTGGACTGTCATGAATGTTGAAAGCTAAGGATTTTGAAAAGGATATTTTTCGCCAATTTGAAGCCATTATCTCTATCTGCAAACACTGGATCGGATCAAATCACGAGAACTCTAAATTAGAATACCAAATAACTTGGTCAAGATTCGAGAAAAACCCAAATGCCACAAAAATACGAAATAAAAATGAAAATACAGTACACATTAAAAATCTTAATAGTATGCATCCTGTTGTGTGTTATAAACAAGGTCCATAAAATGTGTACAAAATTTTGGCAGTCTACACAACAATATTCTCTATTTAAAACAAAGTAGACACTATCGAATCAACATTTGATTTTATTGACGCTACATGTTTCGACTCTTATACTGAGTCGTTATCAGGCGTAAAATGATACCAGACTCAGTTGTTTAATTGTATCTAACAATTTTAATTTTTATGTTTTAGCCTCAAATTGTTAAATTATATTATGAGATGATTTTAAAATTTTAACTGAAAGACTCAATTTATGCACTTAAAAACAATTAAGTGCCCAATAAGGATACTTATTGGAGAATTAGATGCAATTCAACAACTGAGTGTTATATCATTGTACGCCTGATGATGACCCAGTATAAGGCTAGAAACATGTAACGTCAGCGAAAACAAATGATACAATAGTGTCTACTTTGTATTAAATACAGAATTTGTTGTATAGACTGCATACTTTCGTATACATTTTATATACATTAAAAAGTTTTAAGAATTTTGAAAAATAAATCTGGAATACAAGTTAGAAAAGAAGCAAGCAATATAGTTTCATGTTTTGTAACCACAATAAACTGAACCTTCTCAATTACCATTATGTATCCGTCTAAGGAGAATTTTGGCCTCACCATAGTTCAAGCGGTTAGTCGCTGGCATCCCACCGCCGCGGCCAGGGTTCGATCCCGGGTCTGGTCAAGTGGGATTTCTGGTGGAAAAAGTGGCGCTGGGGCTGGTTTTCTCCGAGTACTTCGGTTTCCCCTGCCAATCTTCATTCCACCAAAGTCTCCATCATCATAATCACCCGGGGCAGGTAGAATAGGCCAATCAGTGGCCATCGTGTCGAGTGGACCCAGCTGGACTCCAACCCCTACTAGCGAATTAAAAAAAGGGGGGGGGAACATCCATGATAGCGAACCTACGGCGCATCCCAACAGTCTGATGAATGTGTTCGTACAAGGTTGACGAATTAGCTTCTGAATATACAAAGATAATTTTGCATTTCTCTCTAGGTTTATTGCATTACATTACTCTACGTAGTAGAATCCACCCGTTAGTCCAACCTATTTCATCCAAAATCAATAACGGGATAAAGGAATAATGCAAATGTTCGATTTGGATTTCAATTGCAGCCTGATACTAGCACATAGATGGTAATGGTGGGCTGCTTATCTGATGATTCTGATATTACCAACATTTGGCAAGATTATTTTTTGGCGTAAACAGTAGCCTGATTTCGGTCTGTGGTAGAAACTCCATCACGAACTACACGAACTACACGAACTACACGAACTATAAATAATAACTTCTAGGAAAAGAAACTTCACATAAATATTATGTACAATTTGACATAGGGGCATACCTTGCTTTATTGCGCTTCGCAGATATCATGTTTTCTTACAAATTGAAGGTCCAGGAATAATTTCGACTTTCAAGTCTTATTATTTGAGAAATACATTTCGTAAGGCTATAGCTACCATAGAGCGATCACGGTGGCCGCGCGGTCTAAGGCACGAAATGTCATCCTTCGCTCTTACGCTGGAATCGTGGGTTCGAATCCCACTTAAGGCATGGATATCTGTTTGTGTTTATTCTGCGTTCGTGTGAGGTAGCGGCCTTGCGACGGGCTGATCCCTCGACCAACAGCTCTACCGATTGACTCAGATTAAGAAACTGAAATGAAACGAAGAGTTTGAAGGATGCCTTGTAACTCAAGTGGGAGCAACAGAAGAAGAAGAAGAAGAAGAGGCGTACACTTATCAGTTTCCGTTTCTGCCACGAAAAGAAGATAATTGGATCTTAGTGCTGCGACTCGTATTATGTGACTAATTTTAAAGTTGGCCTCTCAGCTGGAAGGTCGCGAGTTCGAGTCCCGATAAGGTGGATTTTTCGAATTGACTTAATTCTTCTAGCGGCAATATGGCCATGGGGGTCGACCCAGCCTCTAACAGAAATGACCGGTGTGTAAGACTAACAGCCTTACCGCAATCTATGAGCCGATTGTCTAGATAATGTGAGGGCCTTAACGTCTCACAATTCTATGTGCCTCTATGGCCTGTTACAGGGATAGCTTCACCTTTACCTTTACCTCAGAATAAGTTCCGATGAAATCTTCTAGGCCTCCATTGCAATATCTACAGAGTCAACTCCATATTAAGCGGACTATTTCTTTCTGACCGTTTGGAACTAATCTCTTACAGAACTTCAAAATATCAACATACTAGTAGCAATATCATTGCGAGGGACAATATCTTTCATCAGTCACACTGTTAACTGAATCCTTACAACTGAGATTTGTTCTGTGAACACACCCAGAAAACGAATTTACATATTTCAGATGACACTCTCTGTGCATGAATAGAGTGTTCTTACGCGCAGAACAAGATCAGTTCAAATCTGGTCTATGAACATGTCCATAAGATTTTCATTCTTGTGTTTAATGACACTATGAATAACATAAAAAATATTTTTGTGTGCAGTCAAAGATTACAATATTTATTGTATAAGCACGTCCGGAGGAAAAACTCTCAGTTTAATCGCCCTGTACATGGGTAATACGAAAGAACAGCAAAAGGAAGACTACCGATGAAACTAAGTTAACAGTGTTGGGTTCCTTTCATCATAAACTAATTTCTGTGTAAATACAGCCACAAAGAAGACAGCAGGAAGTTATCGTAATTGGAATCTGCATGCGGTAGGAATTCATTTCGGAAGCA